ACCAAAGGAGAAAGTCCATCCAGGGGGTTGGGGAGGAGAGCATTTTGGAGGGAGATTGCCCTTCTGGAGGTCAGAAGAACAACTCTGCAGCGTATTGCTCACAAGTCCATCATCCATCAGCTGGTTAAGGCAAAAAATAAAAGCCACCCCCCTAAAAAAATATCTCCTTTGGAACTCCACACAGGAGGTCCGATAGGAGGCAGTATTTTTTTACTCACACCCACACTGATTTCTGTTAGGGCCCCCTTCTGCTGCAGACTTGCTTAGGAGACCAGCATTTGGCCTAGCAGCTGGGAGATCAAAGATTGGGCGTGCTGACCTTACCATACCCAGCAAGGCAAAAAGGCCAGCTGGAGCCCCTTCGCCGATGAAACAGGTTCAAGGGACAAAGAGGGTTCCCTATGGGATATCAAGGCAAAATGACCTTCCATTTTACCACTTTGACTTCCTAGAGTTGGAGGTTCCCCAAAACTAGACTGAGGGTTTTAAAACAATTGGTTTTATATTATAATAAAGGGAGATTGCTGTGTGATTTCTGGGCAGATGAAACGATGTCCCCTACCTGTCAGTCCACTAGCGTTTTTTTTTGGGGGGGGGGAGCAGTTGGGAGGCTGAGGCGAATCCACACCTCTAGAACTGAGGCCGTGCCTCCTACGTTTGAACGAAGAAAAAAACTCTCACTCGCACCGTATCAACTTGATAAATCAATCTATGTGTTCCAGCCACATTATAACACATTGCACAGAAACAGAGACTTGGGGGGTTTGTTTGTACAGAATCTGCTTGTTTCAGTGGAAAAATTCCTGTGCGTGGACATGGCGTGTGTCTATGTGCACATGAATACACGTGCCTTGTCTAGTTGACAAAAACCTGTGACATGCAAGAGGAAATTATGACTTACTGCAGTTCAAGTATTTGTCAACTAACAAGCCAGATGCATTGAGACACGGATGAAGAACGTAACTTGCAAATTAGTGCTAAAAAAACAATTAGTGCCATTTTCATTGCCTTTTGGGCTGTGAAGGAGGCTGCAAGCCCACCCCGTTCTTTCCTCTCCTCATGTCTGCTGCTCCCTTTCCCATCCTTGGGAGAGAAATCCTGGCATCTGAGGACCTGCCCCCCCCCCCGGCTGGAGCTGTCTCAGCAAGTTGTCCCCTTCTACCCATGCCATCGTGGCTGTATTGCCTTTTTGTGTGCAAAACGATGAGCGGAGGAAGACTTGGCTATTTGGAAACTCAGACAAAATGTTTTGCTTTTTTTAAAAAAAATCTTGTTCCCTTTTGTTTTCTGTTTTGCTTGAAAGTAATGTCTTCTTCCACTTGCTTCTGGAAGAATTATATGGCATCATAGGCAAAAAGAAAAAAAGAAAAAAAAGGGGGGGAAACCCACCTCCCCACCTGCGAACTGTATTAAAAAAATATTTCTGCTCCAGAAAGAAGGAACAAAACAGAATAAAAAGGCAAAGTCTTTTCTTCTCATCAGTCCATAATAAAATCAAATCTATGTAAACGCACAAAAATAAATTAGGGCTACCTTCGAAAAATAACTTTTAAAAAATCAAAATTAAACAACCTACCCACCATTTCCTAACTTTGAACGCCTTGTTTTCCATCCAGGAGGGCTATGCTGTGATAGGCAAAGGAATAAAGCAGAAGTGGGGGATCTGAGAACCTTCAAATGCAATGGGATTCTAACCCTCATCAGCCTCAGCTACTATAAGGAGTGTGGTCAAGGATGATGAGAGGCGCGATCTCACCAACACCTGGAGGACCAGTGATTCCAAACCAGTCACAAAGGCACCAGTCTACGAGCCAAAACTGGAGGGGTTATCTCCAGAGCTAGGGAGCAGTATGAACACAGGGGTTTAAATTGTCACTAGCTTCTTGTGTTAAAGTCCAGCTGTTTCTGCTTTGCTTGACTACAAATGGCTTTAAATACTATTTATTTTTTAAAAAATCCATCTGATTTTCTTCTGCCACTACAACACACATGCTTCATGCCGACACCCTCCTCCTCCTGTTTCTGGTTACACCAGTCTTTTAAAATTTAACAAAATAAAATAATAAAAAAAACAGAACGACCACCCAGCCACACGAAAAGGGAGGGAGGGGGAGGGAGGGGGAGGGAAGCAAATTAATGGTAAAGATTATTTCTGGAGTGCTCGGGCTGGTCACGGCAGCAGCAGGCTTCTGCCCCCTGCTGGGCCAGCCTGGTTCTACAGTTGCTGTGTGTAATTTTCCCACCCCAACCCTCTTTTTTTGTTGTTGATTTTCTTTTTATAAAAAATACAATAAAAATAAAAAATGAGTTTTTCTTCTTTTCTTTTATCCCCACCCCTCCCTCGTGAAAACTTCCGCGTAAGTGTGTTGTACGTGTGGTTTTGCTTCTTCCCCCCCCCCCGGTCCCTTTCCCCACAGTCATGACGCGCCAGGGGACGTGTCATTCACTGTGTCGTCTGCCAGTCTGTCTTGCCCTTCTGGGGACTCATGCGGGGGCTCCTCCACGGCTGTATAGTAGCTGTTGTCACCGGGGCTGCTGTGGTCCTTGTCGGACTGCTCCGAGTCCTCACCCTCCTCCTCCAAGGTCAGTTCAAACTGGAACTTCTCTAGGCAGGCTTCGTCATCCTTCTCTGCGTCGTCTGGAGGCGGGGAGGGGCTCTGGGGGATCATGCTGTGGTACCAGTCCCTGTTGTCCTCAAGGGTATCCAAAATTTCTTGTGCGTCAGGATGGACCAGGTCTGCCCATGTCTCCCACAGCGGGTGTACGATGTAGTCAATGAATCCCACCTGGAAAACAGTGGGGCAGAAAGGAGGGAAAGAAGAGAGTTAGTAAGGGGGAAAAAAGACACTGCGGGATAGCTCTTATTACAACAACTGAAGATCACACAGCTAAATGCTTTCCTTGAAATCACCCTGCGGCTCTCACAGAGGGAGCCCTGCAGATAATATTGTTCAGATATTAGAGCTGGCTCTCTTGCAAAGCAGAGTCAGGTGGCTGCCTTGGATGGCAGATGTGCAGAAGCAGCAGCTAAACGTCGTGCACGCGTGTGTGTCTTGTTCGCACTAAACTAGCCCATTGCTTGTAAGTGTGGTGGTGGATGCTTGGTCTCCTGTTGATACTGTTCTTGGCCTTTTGTATATGGAATGGGTAAGGTCCTCAAGGGAGAAGACAGTGCATAAAAAGACAGGACGAGATCGGGCCAATCAGGAATACTGGCTGAATGTATTTCCCTATTGATGTCCATTAGAGCTTTAGTCTGTGTTTTCTATCCATTTCAGAGGTTTCTTGTATAAAAACCCTAAGAGTTAACCCTTAAAAAAAAGATTTCTCTCATAATGACCGTATCATTTGTAAGCCAAATCTGAGGAATGGTTGTGGCAGAAAAAGGATTTTTCTAGGTGGCCCTGTGACCAACAAATCCCATAACCTGGAAGAATTGAAGCCAAATAACACAGAGGCTAGCTCTGGGCAAGGATAATGGGGGTTGTTAGTTTTCCAAGTTCTGCCCCCAAGTGTCATGTTTCCCAGAAGCACCCTAAGAGCTCCTGATTGGGATCAGCAGATGCTGATTCAAGGTGAGGGAGAAAAATAGTTTTTATGACCTGAAAAGAGGCACTCCGTGTTTTATGTTACTCTTTTTATTCTTCTAAGATAGGAACTGGCCTTAAGAAAGGATGAAAGGGGGAGGAGGAAATAAAGATTTTATTTACTGTAGTATGTCTGACTTGATTAGCTGTGGTTTATGAATAAATGTGGCACATTTCCTTTTCTATGATACTCCAGAGGGCTAGACAGGGAGACTCTTGTGGAGACTTTCAGGGTCCTTACCTTCCTTGCAACAACTGTTATCCCTTAGTGCTAAAACAAGCACATTTTTTCCCCACTAACCAGCCTCCCTCAACCCAAAGAATGAAAGAGCTGTGCTCTCCAGTGCTGAGAATTAAATAAAAATCTATGGTAAAAGAAGCAATAATAAGGGGCAGTGGCCCAGTGCTGCCAGGGAGTCTGTGAAAGAATGGGCTGGGGTTGTAAAGGGAGAAGGCAGCCCTGCTGGCATTTACCACATAAATTCTCTCTCTCTCTCTCTCCTTTAGACATACACAGACGTGCTTTAAAAAGGCTGCAACCCATACTCCCACCCAAACTGTAGGACAGACAGGTTCTAAAGCCAATACATATTTAGAACTGGTGGAGGCATAATGTGCGATGTCAGGATTGCCAGCGGCGACTCCCATACAACCCAAGGAAACCCATAACCGGATCTGGCCTCGTAGCTGGAGGAAAGAGCACCTGGAGAGCCGCAATAAGGGACCCGGACCAGACACTTAGGGGCAACTCAGCCCCTGTAATACAACTAACAGCACCGGATTCCTTGCAAGATGAAATACTGGCCAGCAGAAAGCCTAACCATGGATAGAGCTCCCCATAATCTGCTGGCTTGTGTTCTTGGGGAATGCGTGAGCCTCTCCTCTCCTACCAGTTCCAGGTCCCACACTTTATCTCGCAGCCATTGCAGGGGCCCTCCCTTCCCATCCCTTCTCTCCGGTTGTGCCTATTCCCTGTTTCTGCCTCCAACAATGCAGTACTTGTCCAGGTACAGTACGTTGAACTGCAACTCCCATCATCCCCAGGCTGCTGGTTGAAATGGGTTCAGATTACCAGGTACGTTGAACTGCAACTCCCATCATACCCAGCTTGCAAGGCTGCTGGTTGAAATGGGTTCAGATTAGGGGAACTGGAGTCCGGCGCAACTGGAGCATACTGGACCAGGGAAGGCTGCCCGAGTCCCTTGGGATGGAAGTCTTCTCCCCCCCCTTCTGCTTCCAAAGCACCCGCCACCTCCGCCTCCTCCTGCCGGAGGGAAGACCTTCCCTCGTCACCCGCAGGGCAACGGGGTCCCACACCTGACCGTCACCCACCTGCGACTTCTCCACGGAGGCTGTGTGCTTGTCGCACATGGGGCTGATCTCCATGCCCCGCTCCCGTTCTTTGTCACCCTGCCTGAAGAATTCCTCCATGATCCGGTCTGTCCATTGCCGGTAGAGCTCCAGAGGCTTGGTGGGGTTGCTCAAGTCCGCACAGTGGACCATGTTCCGCAGGACCTGGTGGGGGCGGGAAAGAAACAAGACCGTCCTCAGGTACTGCTGCTCTACCCAAGCAGGGTTTGCAAAGCTCTGTGCACAGAAGGAAAACTCCTAGAAAGGGAAGTGATGAGTAAGCCTGGCCCTTCCATTAGGTGTCTGCCTTGGGGGGGGGCAAACATTGGGAGGCAGGGTGTGCCCCCTCCCAGATGCTGGGTGACAGACTCGTGTATGGGTGTCCCCTAAGCTAGTCTGCTCTCAGGTCTGGAAGAAGGTGCCGCCTTCAGTAGGGTCAGTATTGTATCAACATTCATCTACTTTTCCCAGTTTGCTTCTATGGCTAAAATGGAATGGAATAGCAGGGGAGAAGAGTGGGCAGTTTTTGCCTCAGGCAGCAAAAAGGTCTTGCACTGGCCCATGGTGTGTGATCTCCTCTGGAGGGTGTGCAACATAGAAAATGGCTATAAAGTCGCATGGAGATGGGACTTAACAGCTGTGAAAATGAATTTATTAAATGAAAGGGTATTGTCTTTACGCTAGGGATGCAAAAAAAGGGGGGGACCTGCTTACCCATCTGGTGAAAAGAGAGAAAAAAAGGAGTAGTTACAATTTTTTTAAAGAGATAAACGGACGATTGGGCAAGGCTGTACAAATGTACTCCAGGATAGCCCTGTTGAATAAGGTAAGCAATAACCAATTAAGTTGGGAAGAAAAATAACTTAATTGTTTTCAGGGTGACTGTGGCAAGCTTAATTATTGCAAAGAACTGGAAATATAGATGATTTAACATGGAAAATTAATATAAAGAAATGTGGGATACGGCCATCAATGAGCTTAAAATAGAAAAGGAAAGCACTCCTGACTTTAAAGATATATGGAAACCATTCTTGTATTTGAGAAAGGGTAAGGTTTCACCTCCTGTGAAGACTCATACTTCTGAAGAGAAATGGGGCAATAATACAAAAGGTAAGAACAAGCAAATTAATAATAATATAATTATTGAATAGAGAAATAGTCCCGGGTAGTGAAGGAACAAGGTTATATATATATGTGTGCATAGGTTTTTTTTCCTCTTTTCTCCTTTAATTTTATTCCACTCTTTTCTTCTTCTTTCTTATTTCTACTGTATTGTGTTAATGTGATTGTATGATATTTTGGACATCTTGTTTATTTCATTTGTTATTAATATTATATTAATATATAATATTTTTTATATAAAAGAGGAAATGCACAACATATTGTGAATAGGATGAAAAGGCTAGATCAGTGATTCTCAGTTTCGATCCTGCAGGTATTCTGGATGTGTT